AAAAAGAGATGGAGGGGGAGGAGCAGGATGAAAAAACTGTATGCATTATAGTAAATATCCCTTTGAACTGGCAGGATGAACACCACTCATAATGCAGTGATATCCTGCTTAGAAGAATTACCAAGGATAGATTGGGCCAATTATCTCACTGGTCCAATCCATCCTTTGGCTAACACAGAGCAATGTAAAATTGCAGGTAAACCTGGCCACTTGAAAACCTTGCCAGCCAGGCCTATTTGTTAGCTAACGTGGACTGCACTGGCTAAAAAGTAGACTGATCTACCTGAAAATCTTGTCAGTTCAGTCAAAATACTGGCTAACATGGGGGAGAGTGTGTGTGCTAGCCTATAAGTAGACTTCCCTGCCCCAAAGCCCTATTGGTCAGGGACAAACAAAGGCACTCTTTGGGGACAGATGAAAGAGGCAGGTAGCTCTTTGTTTTGCAGACTCAGATCACTTCCCCATAGCTCTCTTCTGTGCCCACATTTTTTCTGGAGCCAATTGCAGCTACATTAACTGTAACTCCCTTAAACCAGTCCTGATGATAACAGACTTCACTGAGTGGATATACCACTTCCTGGTGGAGCAGCAGTTCCACTTTTTTGGTAGCTGTTCATGAGGATTAAGTTTCTCACTGGCACATAAATGATTTCTGCTTCTAGATATCACTGGATGTCCATATGGAAACAAGGGCTACATTGCTGGGATCATATCCAGATTAGCCCTAAATCATAAATTTCCTTAAAGTTTTTGTCCTTATACATAAATCAGTGTGTCCTGTTCCATGGAGAGTTTTGATGACCACTGTAAATAAGGCTCAGGCAATGAAGCAGGACACATAGCAGTGATTGGACAAAGCTGGATATAGCGGTTCAGGACCATGGCCAGTTCTACATATATCAGCTAGAAGTTAGCAACTCTATAACTATAGATCGAATTGATTCCATTTGTTTGTGTTTATATATCAAATCCATATGACTGCCCATCTACCAGAAGGAACTCTGGGTGTGAGCAAGAATAAAGAGAGGATTTTATATCTAGCCCAGAAAAGTCTTTTGAAAGCTCTGCTCTTTCAAAGGCTATAGATAGGTTTTTTTCTTTTTTAAGTGCTCATCTGGAGTCTGGCTTTTACAACAACTTCTTCTTAGTAGATGTATGGGGAGAAAAACAACAATAGTAGTGAGGAAAATATTCAGGGATGTTCCTCAAAGTCTCCTGCTAACTGGAAGAGGCTAAATAGTAGCCTTCCAAGTCATGAGGCAGCAGCAACCGTTCCTGTGTGTCAAATGGGATCTGAGAGAGAAAGCCCAGTCCAGGGAGAGCAGGATCAGGTCTTAATGCATCCTTAGAGCTGCTGTGGCTGGTGGGCTTTTGGTCCTGGGTCATGACACAGAGGCATCTAAAACTGTTCCTCTCTCTGTCTTGCCTTTGATTTTATTGCTCTTTAGATTCTTGCATATTAGATCTGGCTTTTTTGATTGTTTTAACACAGACTGCTATGCTGTTTCTTTTTCTGTATTAATTTGATATTTAATGAATAAGTTGGTTGCAAAGTCTCCTGTGGAGTTATAACAAATACATATTTAATTTGAAATTTAATTTGTTTTGACTGAGAGATGAACTGACTTGCCACATTTTAAGACATGGCTATCTGGATAGCAAATGAGTTTATTTGTTGGTTGAGACTTAAATTTCTCAGAGGCATAATCCTATCTTACGACAAAACAAGAATGCTTACTCTGTTTACCTTCTCAATAAGAAAACTGTCTGGGCTCCAAACTATCTTTAAACTGTGTCCTCTGTTGTAGTCTCATTCTCCTCATCCACAGATGTTCTGTAGCAGGAAGCACTCCACATGGTCAGAACTGAGACCCTGCCATTTTTTCAGTGCTTCATATGACCAATTGCTGGGTTGTGGCATTCAAACTGTATTTCCAATAGCCCCCCACCACAGCTGTGGCATCCAATCAAACAATGAAATCTATCAAGCCTGTTGCGTTGAGACTTAAATGACATCCACATTTTATGCCAGTATTTAAGGACATTGTGCCTCCTTTTGGGTTGCATTTCCAAGGAAATGAAGGCCATTTGGTAGCAGATGAATCAGATGGAATCTCAGTGGATGTAAACATTCTGCTTTGTGCCAAGCAAATTAGTCTCTTATGCTTTTTGTTTGAAATGTGATGCATTAGATCAACACTGGGCAAGCAGATGGGACTCCTGGACTTGATTTAAATGTGGCTGAAGCCTGGGAGCTGGGCTATACAGGAAAAGGAGTAACTATAGGAATTATGGATGATGGTAAGTGAAAACTAAAATATCATGACTCTCTGTAAATTTCACCCTTGATTGTAGCACATAAGGAATGCAATTTAACATTAAAATTGAAATCCATGATTCACCTACTTCAAAATACTGAAATGTTAATGAGAACATTATAAGATATTCAGACATAATTTTTAATAACAAATCATCATCCAGAGAAAGTTCCCTTTGGATACAGTCTGTGAATAATGATCATTTCTTAAATTTAGCCTAGGGCAAAGCATTTAGTTGAAGCGTGTTAGTTTACTAATTTAGAAAAGGGCTAGCAGAAGTAAACATTGAATTAATTTCCATGTGACTCTATGTGTGTGTGTTTGTGTGTTTCCCTGTTGTATTTCTAAAAAGAAAAAAGAAAAGAAAGAAAAGAGATTTCAATGCCTTCCTCCATTTACATGAGCTGGATTTTAAACTGCATTGTAAGCTTTCCCTCACAATGCTAAAAATAATCAGAAAAGTTGCTATGCTTGAACAGATCCACAGAGTCCTATTCTTGCTAATACTGATGCTCCACTGGATAAATGAGGCTGCTTGTCTACCGATAGCACTATCCATTTGCACATGACTCACAGTTCCCTGGCTCCTTTATTTGGGTCCACAGAGCAACTTGTTACATTTTGCAGTGACTGAACAAAACTGAGAATTTCTGAGCCCAAGATCTCACTATTAATGTTTTTGGAGGGGGGAGGGGGGATAAGAAGAGCAAAGAATGGAAACACTGCAACTTGCCATCTGATCAATGAACAATAGATTGTTACTGATTTGCACTACCACCATTGAAAAACGTAGGAACAGCTTTTCTGTGATGTCTCAATTCCATCTATTTTGGATGTTCCCATGATTTTTACCTACACAAGGTGGAGGTACTTGAGGAATTAGACCATCATGAGTCCTGGTCCAAAATATCCAGACCCACACCTACTGGATTAGATCTAACTGATTTTGCACTTTAGTGTTATGTCACAATTTCTCATTACTGACATGTACCAAAGCACAGATCTGAGAAAAAGTATGGATTAAAATATATATTTTGAGACAGTTAAAAAAATACCTATTGCCATAGAAGTAGAATGGAATGGACAAGGGTGACATTAGAATGACGCTACCCCAAAAGCAGTTGGAAACTCAGCAGAGCTAAGCAAGGGTGCCAACACATTATGGTGGTTTAGAGCTTCATCAAAGAGGAAAGACAGAGGGGAGGAAATGGCTTAGTTACATCTAATCAGCCTCCTGACTATGTGTCAATCCAGAATATCTAGCCTCAACCCATTGTGAGTGCCTGCAGCCAAAGAGGAGTAATGAGCTAAATCATGATCATCATCTGACCTTTGGCTGCCTACTAGAACCCCTTAATATTATGAAAACACAACATGGTCTGCCATAAGGTGCAAGATCAACAGCCCAAGTTCCTAACTCCTGCCTCCATATGGTCTTTTTCCCTGCCTCTCACTGAATAAAGAGAAGTACCCAAATATCAGATGAAAGTAACCGATCTTCTAAAAAGAATAGGCAATTTCTAAGATAACTTTGATGACAAGTGAAGTACAGCCCCTGCACACCTTGCAATTGTGATTATTGATTTTTTTTTTTTGCAAAGTTTTATAAAGAACAGCTATGATGAAAAGCAGTGCAGGTTGGAAGATTCGTAAATAGAGAAATGAAATTGCTGTTTGAAATGGGAGTCTGCAGAATGTTGCTGTGCTAGCTACAGGGAAC